CTACTGGATCTAAACGTGTTATAACGTATCTTCAGTTATATACTGTGACACTGGAACTCCTGAATTCTACGCTTAACCCACTGATTTACAGTTGGAAGATGAAACACGTCCGGCACACTATAATTGGCTTATTACGAGACGCATTTTCAAAACACAACTGAGGAAAGTTTCAGAACATCTTAGCTGATAAGTAATACACGCGATATAAAACTCTGAGATCGAATAAATTAAACTTAAAAATTAATAAAAAGGAAGAACCAGGAATTGATTCTTGTAATTCTATTAATTTAGGCTTTCACAGCATTTTGAAACTTTACGCGGACAAAATGTTATGAATCAATTAAAAATCGTCAGTTTGGCGCAATTATGCTGTTGTCCTCTGACGCTCAGTACTTTAGAAGGTCGAGAAAAAACAAAGTACGAGATATCATGGAAACGATAAGCAAACTCTAATGGAATTGGGCTGGTCATGTGGCGAGAAGAACAGACAACCGTTCGACAATTCGCATTACGTTCTGGACGCCCCGGGAACACACAAGGAACCGAGAAAGACCAAGGACGGGATGGAGGGACGATTTAGATAGTTTCGTAAACACTGGCATCGTGTTGCGCAAAGCATGGTCCAGTGGAGGTCGATGGGGTAGGCCTACGTCCAACGACAGACATTCATCAGCTGAAACTGAACTAAACTGAACTGAACTTTAGAAATTACCAAAATTGTTCAGCATAAGAAAATACCGGTATATAGCTGGAAAGCACAGCTCCGAAGCCTATATTCAAGCAATATGTTTCGGTGATAAGGGGCCAAAGCGAATACAAGGCTATACTTTCCTTTCACTTTATTTTTGAAATGGCAAAGTGATTTGAAAGGAATTAAAACACAAACTCACTAACACAACGCCGTATCTTTAAAAACTAGCGAGACACAAAGAAGATAGCAGTTCACATTTGCGGAAAATTATAACAACAGATGAAGGCCATCTGTGCCAGCCAGCCAGCCATTACAAGCTGGCGCTCAAACAGCATCGCGACACACATGGTATGCGTTGTCCTTCGTCGAACGCAATTACAAGCGCACTCTAATGAAGCTGGTGAGAAGACCAAAACATTATTCTGTTTACTAAAATTTAACAACGTCTTTTCTACACTTCAAAACCAAGATGATGAATATCAAAACAAAACATGACTGCGATTTCGCCATTTTGTTTCCCGCAATCAGGATCACGACTACAGCTCTCAGGAGCCTAGTGAATGCGCGAGTAAAACTCTTCCTGACTCCTAAAAAAGCGTCAAAGAGAATTTCAGACAGAGGAATCCCGACAGAAGAGAGCAAATTAGGACAGCGATCTCCTTCGTCGAATGCAACAACTATAACTCTTCATAATTGATTCAAATACTGTTTTGGCAATTTTTTTTAGCAGTTATACTTGGAATATTCGGATAGAATTAAGTTAAGGGCTCATTCGAAATGTTTAAGCTCGAAGGTCTTTTAAAATGCCGTCTGAAAAAGTAAAACCGATAAATAATACATGACAGAGTGTTTATTAAAGCTCGGTTAGCCCTATAGTGTAGCATGAGTTGACATGGAAACTAAGGCGAACACTGCAACCCAAAGAAAACACAAAGGGCCAGTTATTTAAACAAAACCGCGCTCTAAGTCATTTTCACCTTACCCAATGCTTTTATCTCAACATCATTTATAGTAACTAGTTTCATGACGACACATGGCGTACACTAGAAAAGCATTTATCTTCTAAAATAACCCACTAAAGAATATATCTGGAGGTCCAAAGGTTTGCTAAACCGTGGTCTAAGTTAAACTTCGCCTTAATAACTGACCCAAATGTTTTGAGCCCGCTTTGTTAAAAGACGTAGTGCAAAACAACACTGTCTAACAGATTCTCTCTTCGACCTTACAAATTGCAAGTCGGAAAGGATATTCACCCAGTTAATTTGGGGGCTTATGGCTATTAAATGCTAAACACCCTAACAAAAATTATTGATACAACCGCTTTTACTTATACAGTATGCCATCTTACCAGTGGTGAATTTTAACTTAAAAAACACATTAGTGAAGTAGTCAAGAACCATTAACATAAAATATAACAGTTGAAATTTTCCAAATCGAGCACAAAAATAATTATCAAAAAAGGGATGTCGCATCCATTATTTGTTCATATTTTTCTGACCGAGTCAGGGATCAATATCTCTACTTTTGCACTAACATCAAATCGAGCACAAAAATAATTATCAAAAAAGGGATGTCGCATCCATTATTTGTTCATATTTTTATGACCGAGTCGGAGATCAACATCTCTATTTTTTGCACTTACATCTTTGGGCAGTTTTGTTACATTTCCTTTTCAAACTATTTGGTTCAAAAGAGAAAAAAAAAAAAAAGAGCAGGAGGAAAGCCTTGCAGGAGTTTTCTGAACACTGAGGTATTTCGCTTCGCAGGATGCGATAAAGCGGCCCCACCGAAAGTTCTGATTGCCGTAAACAATTTCTTTTTGCCGGTGATTAAGTTTAAGTTTTATTTGAAACAAAAACTCCCGTTTTCTAATCGCTTAGCAGTTTAGCAAAATACGTCTGACAATTATCTAAAGTGTCTTAAAAACACAAAGGACATCTGCTTTGCCACACCAGCAATGCCCTGTCATCAGTATTCGTATGTTCAGAAAAGAGTTTCATCGTAGCTCAGTTAAAGACGCATTTTAGTCAGTCAAACTGCTTTTCATCAAAGTCTAACTTACTAAACGTTTTGGAACTCTCCGAACTTTATTCAATCCGTGACGTGGGTTTGGTGGGATCATCCTGCAAAAACCAAACGCTTGCAAGGTCCAACAAGAATTTGCTTGCTTCAAACGCCGCAACTACCCGAAAAGGTCATCAAATGGATTGGTCGTATCTCACGCTTTGCGTATTAAACGGGTACTTGTCTTACACCGCCACCATGCTGAACATTGTAGCAATCTACGCGATCAGAAAGACTTCGTCTTTGCCAAAAAATTTAAAAACATTGCTGTTGAGTCTGGCTGTTTCTGATCTCGGGGTTGGTTTACTAGCTCAGCCAATGCACGTTGCTTATATCATGGACTCTAAACAAAACAATGCAACCAATGAAACTTATAATGTCCTATTTATCGCGTTTCTTATTCCGACGAATTTCTTCATCCATGCGTCATTGTTTAGCGTCACGGCTCTCTGTGTAGACAGATTTTTGGCAATTCGGCTTCACCTCAGATACCAGGAACTTGTAACTTACAAGCGCCTTGCTACTGTAGTGGTCTCAATTTGGGTGATAAGTGCATTTATTTCACTGATCAGGCTATTCCTCCCAACGGAAATTATGTACGTGAGTTTCGTCATTATTGAATCTGCCTGCATCATAACTGCAACTCTCCTGAGCGCCAAACTTTACCTAACCATTAGACGCCACATAAACCAAATTCAAGTCCCGCAAGTAGCCCAAAATGACCAAGGAGACAGTGTTCAAAGAAAAAGGACATCTGCGATGGCATCGCTTTACGTGTACCTGGTTTTCATAACTTGCTACTTGCCTGACATTTGTGTGTTAATTACTATCGCTACCATTTCCGAACCAAGGATTGATGTAATACATTTGAGTTTTTACACTCTGACCCTGTTGTTTCTTAATTCGACCCTTAATCCAATAATCTTCTGTTGGAAAATGAAACCCATCCAGTACACTATTGTAGGCACACTTCGAAATCTTCTGTCAAGTCTCACCTAAAGAAAGCTCCACCTTAAACTAAGACGAGCAGAGGACTAAGAAAGCCTTATATGGTCATCCTCATACGGTCCTTATACGGTCTGTAACTAAATGAAGCTATGCCACTTAAATGCTTTGCGAATTACCCTACATGTTATTTCCATGACACAATCCACGCTGTCTTCATTCAGTTTTTAAACGTTCTCATGCAAACTTTTAGTTAAAAAAATTCACTACTTTTGTAAAATGAAACATAAAAAAGCGCGATTGACGCACTTCACAGTGTCTTAGTGATGCAAGAGTGAGCCAGCTTACGAGCTAAATGACTTAAGTTTCTTCTTCATATAACCTTTTCACTGTGTTAAAACCTAACAACGTTTAATTCGTTATGCAGCAAAGGTTTTGCTGAAATAGACCTTAACTAAGATGATATAGTTATGTCATTACTATACAATTTAAGTTTACGAGATTATTCTTAATGATAGAAGGGGGAGAAAGTATGATAAAAAAAAATAAACTTTTTTCTAAAACTGTTCACGTTTAGAACCCTTAAGATTTTATGGTTTAACTGTTTTCGTCTCAAAAAACATATGTATTGTCAAATCCGCCTTGGTCTCTTGTATTGTTTTGCAGTGCTCTTTATTGTTTTTTCAGTAAGCAACATTTCACCAAGGATTCAGGATAATAATGAAAAGAAAAGCAACGGCCGTAGAAACGAAACCAACCTTTACCTCCGTCTAAAGACATGCTGAAAATTTCCCCAGAAACGAGAACATCAAACTTCAACTAGCCTGCGAGGAAGCTTTCTATTTAGGGGGAGTCGCGAGAAGTCACGCGAGAGCAGCACGCGTAAGGAAACGCGGGTGCGAGGGGCGGGGTGACAGGCGCGTTTTCTGGCGACTAGCTTTGCTTTCTCGCGGGCTAAATTTCAACAGCTGTCTTGCGCGCTGTTCATTTTCATGACAATTTCGATCGATCGTGGAACCTTAACGCTTTTCGCGGTTTACAACCTTTATTGATTATTGTTACTGTATTTTCACTTCCATTCTGACCTAGAAAGGTCTGAAATTATAGCTTCCAACAAAAGCCTGAATCAGAGAGGGAGTTCGTGAATATAACACGCTCTCAACTAAACATGAATTGTTGGTGCCAGTTTCATAGTAGAATTGGGTAGCAAATGAATTTCACCTCAACAACAACAACAAGAAAAGAAATAGTTTTTAAGACCGCTTGCGTTTAATGGTTGGGTGCAAAACCAACGAAAAACTCTCCACTAATAGTTTTTGCTGTCGAGCTTAAAAATTGCAAATGCAACGCAAATCCATGAAAGATTTGGGGAACCACATGACATGTAAATTAAACAGCTGAAATTTTCCAAGTTGGTTATTTAAAGCCTACTCTTATCCTCTTTCTGCAAACTAAATATTATTTTGTTAGACACTACATTTTGTGAAAAATACCAAAAATTTCACTAACTTTAAGAGAAGAAAACAGTTTGTAACTCCTTCAATAGGGACTAAAAACTCTAAATGAGAAGCCCTCATGTTAACGCCATAAACTAGAAGTCTTTCATTTTACATCGTTTTATTTTTACTGTCAATTAAATCGGCTAGAATACTAACGAGGAAAAGTTTTTTCTTAAATATTTCATTCGACCGCAACATGCCATTTTACAGCAAATTTTAATGAACATAGAGTATATGGAGCATACACAAGAGAGAAGGACAGTTGTCCTTTTTCGCATTTCGATCACTCGGACGCGATATGGCCATATAGTGGCCCCAATAATGAAAAAAAAAACTTCAAATATGACTTAACTGTCAAAGGTAGGAAAAACGGTGGAGCAAGTTTCCTGTGTTTTACTTGAAGTTAATTTAAACAAAACTTCCTGTTGTTAAATTGGTATAACGCTAATAAAAAAGGCGATTTTGAAAACAACCAAGAGATCTATTCTGACACTTTGACCAGCAATACTTAATGATTAGTTGCTTGCGTCATTGTGTTGAGATGAAATGTTTCATAGGGGCCCAGTTAAAGACGAATTTAGTCAAAGTACTTATCAAATGCTACCCTATCGAAAGTCGTGGAGTTCTAAAAATAAGTCAATCCGCAACGAAGCTCTGGTAGAAGAAGTCCACGAAACTGATCCTACTGAATTCATAAAATATCAAACTCTTGCATCATCTGATAGGAATTTAACTGGCTTCAACACAAATTCCAAAAAGACAACAAATGGATTCTTCGTATCTCGTAGTTTGCCTTTGAAATGCACTTTTATCCTACACCGCCACCATGCTAAACATTGTAAAAATCCACTCGATAAGAAAAACTCCGACCTTGTCAAAGAATTTAAAAACATTGCATTTGAGCCTGGCTGTTTCTGATCTTGGTGTTGGATTTCTAACTCAGCCAATGGGAACTCTAGACTCAAGAACACAAAAAAAAAATTGGGGGGAAATGGGTCAGTTTCGAATTATCAAAATTCATACTTGGCTCGGAGGCTGCAGGGAGTAAAATAGAATAGAATTGAGTAGCAAATGAATTTCATCTCAACAACAACAACAACAACAAAGAAATACTTCTTAATTCCGCTTGCGTTTAATGGTGGGGTGCAAAACCAAACATAAACTGTCCACTAATAGTTTATGTCGTCGATAGTACAAATTGCAAATACAACACAAGTTAATGAAAGAGTGAGGGAACCATATGATATGTAAATTAAACAGCTGAAATTTTCCGAGTTGGTTATTGAAAACCTACTCTTTGCTAAGTATTATTTTTTAGACGTGTGAAAAATATCAAAAATTTCACCACCTTTAAAGAGACGAAACACTTTGTAACTCCTTCAATAGAGACTGTAAACTCTAAATGAGAAGCCCTTACGTTAACGCCAAAAACTAGAAGTCTTTAATTTTGAAATATAAGGTTATTAAGCCTTAACATGTTCATCAAAATTCAATGGGTATACAGACTAATGACGAAGAGTTTTTTTTTAATATTTCAATCGACCGCTTTTTGTCCCAACTAATAAGGAACATGTCATTTTGCAGTAAATTTTAATAACTTTCTTTTAAAATACAGCATATTGAGCATACACAAGGGTGAAGGACAGTTTTGTCCTTTTTCGCACTTCGCTCGTTTCGATGCAATATAGCCACATAACGGCCCCAATAAAGAAAAAAACCTTCAAATATCACTTAACTGTTAAAGCTGGGAAAAATGGAGGGGCAAGTTTCCTGTGTTTCAGTTGAAGTTACTTTAAACAGAACTTCCTGTTTTTAAATTGGTATGAAGCAATACTTGATGATCCGTCGCCGCGTCATTGTGTTAAGATGAAATGTTTCACTGTGGCCTAGTTAAAGAGGAATTTAGTCAACCTGCTTATCAAATGCTACCCTATTGAAAGTCGTGGGGTACTAAAAATATGTCGATCCGCTTCGAAACTCTGGTAGAGGAAGTCCACGAAACTGATTCTACTGAACTCATAAAAGATCAAACTCTTGCATCATCTGATAGGAATTTAACTGGCTTCAGCACAAATCCAAAAAGGACAACAAATGGATTCCTCGTATCTCCTAGTTTGCCTTTTAAATGCATTTTTATCCTACACCGCCACCATGCTAAATATTGTTACAATCCATGCCATAAGAAAAACTCCATCCTTGTCAAAGAATTTAAAAACATTGCTCCTTAGTCTGGCTGTTTCTGATCTTGGTGTTGGTTTAGTGGCGCAACCTTTGGATGTGGCACGTCTTATTATGGAGTCACGGGTAAACATTGAAAGTAGTAAAACGTATAATGCCATCTATATCGCGTTCCTTATCCCGACGAATTTATTTATTTTCGCTACGCTGTTTCTCGTCATTGTTCTTTGTGCAGAGAGATTTATAGCCATTCATTATTATCTTAGATATCAAGAAATTGTGACACACAAGCGAGTTGTTGCTGTTGTCGTCTCAACTTGGGTATTAAGCGGACTGTTTTCGTTCACGAGGCTGTGGATCCCAAAGAGTATTATGTACGTGGTTTTTGGCATTACACAACTTGCATGTATTATAGCTGCCACTTTCTTCAGTATCAGAATTTACTTGTCCGTGCGACTTCACGTGAACGAAATGCAAGTGCTGCAGCTACAACATGCACCACAGAACGCTCAAATGGTTAACGTTCGAAGGATGAGAAAGTTTGCGATGATGTCAGTTTACGTTTGCCTCGTTTTAACAGTTTGCTATCTGCCAAACATTTGTATACTCTTTGCTATTGCCTTCACTTCTAGACCAAGCATGGGCATAAAGCATTTACAGTTTTACACTCTGACACTGGAGTTCCTTAATTCGTCGCTTAATCCTGTGATCTACTGCTGGAAAATGAAACAGATCCGACAGACGATCATTGGCTTTATACGAAATGCATTTACGAAGCAAAACTAAAGAGAGCTTCAAAACAATCCATTTGGAAATATAAACGATATGAAAAAACAACAACAACAACAAGAAACAATAACAAATGTAAAATCGTGTTATGTTAAACTTACAATTATAAAAGAGAGATATAACAGAATAAGAATAAAAATGAACAATAGAGATTGTTGTAGTTCTCGTTAGAATCAATGATTTAAAAAACAATTTGCCTCGGAGTAATAATCTATATATTGTAATGAAACACGAAAGTTGTCAAAACTTTTATAAATCCGTCAATAAATAAAAGATAAAGCATTGTGTTACCTCCTCACCCACCCCTACAGATAAAAAGGAAAGTAAGAAAAGGAAGTAAGCTGACGAAATTAAAGTAGAATCACACGCACGCTCTTATAAAAGCCAGCGAGACGATGAAAACACCCGCTGAAAACATCCTCGAGATAACAAAAGGTTTAAAACATCTTTCCTAGACTTGTAAACCAAGATGATAGTTATCAAACTAAATATAGTAAGGATGTCACCATTTTGTTTCCCTCGATCACGATTATACGACTCAGTGACTGCGCGTCTGCACGAGCAGAACTTCAATTTTTTTTTTCCGTGGCTTCTAAAAATGCGAGACGGGGAACTTTAGACTCAAAAACACAAACAAAAGAGAGAAAATGGGTCAGTTGCGAATTATTAAAATTCGTACTTGGCTCCGCGGGTGAAGGGAATAAAACTGGTACACAAAAAGGTACACGAAACCTTTGATTTCACCGAAATCGAATCAGTTATGATTTTATGTTTCTACTTAAAGGCTTCCAAAAAGACGGTGGTCTCGATTCGAACAAGAAAGAATCTGCTATCAGGCGATCTTTTTTCAGAGAAAGTCGGTGGACGCCTCCCAAACAAAAAGGGAAGAAGGACCGGCTGATCGCAGGTTAAACCAGAATTTGCCAAGATTGAGGTGGAGCAGAAGAGAGTCGATGTAGTTTTACAAGACTTTTAGGAAGCGTTCGATAGATAAAAACAAAAACATTAAAACTACAAAAAAGCATTTTCGTTTGTTTAATTATGACTTAACTGTAAGAGGTGGGGAAAATTGTTGGACAAGTTTGCCTGTTATTAAGATGAAGTTTAATTAGTTAGACAAAACTTCCTCTTTCCTAATTGTTTTGAAGTTTAGGAAGACCTATATACAAATTGTAAAAATTGTTTAAAAAACAAGAAGGACATCTGCAAGAAGACAGAAATTCGCATGCTCTGTCGACAATTTGCTCGGTCGGGTGAAACAAAATAGAGCGTAAGAAACGACGACGGCGACGGCAACAAGAACGGCAAGAAAGCAATGGGTTTCGATTGGCATAACAACAACTTTGAACGTAGATCACGCTATCTGTACATTTCTTTGCCGTCACTGCACGACTACGACGTGGAACGTCCTATTTTCACGTTTTATTGAGGACGTAAACACAAAAAAGGGATGTCAGATCCACTATTTGATCATCACCTTTACTTTTTGCACTAACATATTCAGATTGAGCGGAAGGAAAGTCTTGCAGGAGTTTTCTGAACATTTCGCTTCACAAACTGCGATAAAGCGGCCCCATTGAAAATACAGATTGGGCAATTTCTTTTTGCCGGTGAATAAGTTTAAGTTTTATTTTGGAACAAAAACTCCCGTTTTCTAATTGCTTGGCAGTTTACAAAAATACGTCCGACAATTATCGGAAGAGTATTTAAAACACATAGGACATCTGTTTTGCCACACCAGCAATGCCCTATCATCAGTAATCGTATGTTCAGAAAAGAGTTTCATCGTAGCTCAGTTAAAGACGCATTTTCGTCAGTCAAACTGCTTTTCATCGAAGTCTAACTTACGAAACGTTTTGGAACTCTCTGAACTTTAGTCAACCCGTGACGTGGGTTTGGTCACATCATCCTGAAAAACAATCGCTTGCAAGGTCCGACAAGAATTTGCTTGCTTCAAGCGCCGCAACTGCCCGAAAAGTTCACCAAATGGATTGGTCATATCTCATGCTTTGCATATTAAACGCGTACTTGTCTTACAGCGCCACCATACTGAACGTTGTAGCGATCTACGCGATCAGAAAGACTTCGTCTTTGTCCAAAAATTTAAAAACATTGCTCTTGAGCCTAGCTGTTTCTGATCTTGGTGTTGGTTTACTAGTTCAGCCAATGTTTGTTGCAGATCTTGTGGACTCAAAACAAAACAATGAAACCAATGAATCTTATAATGCCATATATATCGCTTTTCTTATCCGAACGAATTTCTTCACTGCTGCGTCATTATTTAGCGTCACGGCTCTCTGTGCAGACAGATTTTTGGTAATTCGCCTTCACCTCAGGTATCAGGAGCTTGTGACAAACAAGCGCGTTGCTGCTGCCGTGATCTCAATATGGGTGATAAGCGCTCTTATTTCACTGAGCAGGTTATTCCTCTCAAAAAATATCATGTACGTGGGTTTCTTCATTATTACATCTGCCTGTATTATAACTGCAACTTCTCTGAGCGCCAAACTTTACCTAACTATAAGACGCCATATAAAACAAATTCACGTGCAGCAAGTAGCGCAGAATGATCAAGGAGAAAGTGTTCAAAGAAAAAGGAAATCTGCGATGGCATCGCTTTACGTGTATCTGGTTTTCATAGTTTGCTATTTGCCTAATATTTGTATGTTAATTATTATCGCTAACAATTCCGAACCAACAATCGATCTACAGCTTTTAAAGTTTTATACAGCGACCCTGTTGTTTGCGAATTCAACCCTTAACCCATTAATCTACTGTTGGAAGATGAAAGGCATCCAGCACACTATTGTAGGCACACTACGCAATCTTTTTTCAAGTCCCACCTAAAGAAAGCTCCACCATAAACTATGACGAACAGAGGACTAAGAAAGCCTTCTAAGGTCATCCTCATATGGTCCTTATACGGTCTGTAAGAAACGGAAGCTATGACACTGAAATGCTTTGCGAATTTCCTTCATGTCATTTCCATAACACAATCCACGCTGTCATCATTCAGTTTTTAAACGTCCTTATGCAAAGTCTTAGTTGAAAAAAATTCATTACTTTTGTAAAATAAACGTTTAAAGGCGCGACTGACGCATTTCGCAGTGTCTTAATGATGCAAAAGTGAGCCAGCGTACGAACTAAATGCCTTAAGTTTCTTCACCACGTAACCTTTTCACTGTGTTAAAACCTAACAACGTTTAAACCGTCATGTTGCAAAGGTTTTGTTGAAATCGACCTTAACCGAGATGATATAGTTATGTCATACTTGCATTTTAAATGTTGGTGAAGCTAAACAAAACAAGAATCACTTCGTGAATTTTACCGGGGCCACTTTTGTCTTGGCAACCCACGTGGAAGGGTCGTTTTCATCAACAAGTTTGTCGGGCGACATGAAAATCTTTTTTATTGCAAATATTCTTTAGAGATGAAAACGAGGTGTAATGAATAATGTGAAAAGGCAAAATGTTAGGGAATCCCGAATTTTGAACAGCTGAGAATTTGCGCATCTCGCTAACGTAAATATTGCGTGACAAAGGTTATTTGAAAATATTTTGTTTTGTTGCTTCATAAGTCAAAGCAGTGATAGACTTCCTCCTAATGAGTTTTAGTTGTTTGTCGGAAAATATCTGACGAAGTTTCCTGTTGGGAGTGCGAATTGTAAGGTACTGAAACGCATAAACAAAGCTTGGCGCATGCAAGTTTAATAAGTTAAGATTTTTGCTTTGTCGTAGTGTACACAGTTCTACGTCGACCAAGCTTTGTCATCGCTAGGATGAATACTTTAACAATATTTTGCAATAGACAGGGATCTCATTTATTGATAAGTGGTAAATATAGTCGCATTAAACCATTCCGTGTGCAAACTAATCGAATTAATATTTACATGGTTACAGTTGTTGCTCCCTACTTCAAATTTCTGAACCAGCGATATATCTCAGCGAACACTCCCAAAAGTAACGAGCCAGCGATATATCTTAGTCAGCGATATATCCCTAACAATGTAACTTTGAAAACACAGAAACGCGTTGCATTTTATGACCGGTGCCAGCCTTCGGCTAGGCCCCGGTAATAACACACTGATATTTAACGTTAACATATAAGAGGTTTCACATGAACCCTTTTCTCACTGAAGCGTAAGCGGAATTCATACCCAAATAAAACATTTAAAACATCTAAAGTGCACGAGATTATTCTTTATAAAAGGTGGGGAACGTATGATAAAAAACTTCCCTGAAACTGTTCACGTTTAGAGCCCCTAAAATTTTATGGTTTAACTGTTTTCGTCGCAAAAAACATACATGTATGTATTGTGAAATCCGTTTTGGTATTTTGTATTGTTCTGCAGTATTTTTTATGTTATTTTTATTTCATTAAGCAACATTTCATCGAGGATAATAATGAAAAGAAAAAACCACGGCCGCAGAAACGAAACCACCCTTTACCTCCGTCTAAAGACATGTTGAAACTTTCCCCAGAAACGAGAACATCAAACTTCAACTAGCCTGCGAGAAAGCTCTCTATTTTGGGGGAGTCGCGAAAAATCACGCGAGAGCAGCGCGCGTAAGGTGACGCTAGTGCGAGGGGCGGGGTGAGAGGCGCGTTCTCTCACGACACGCTTCGCTCACCATAAATGGAGAGCTTTCTAGCAGGCTGAAATTTAACAGCTGTCTTGCGCGCTATTCATTTTCATGATAGTTTCGTTCGATTCTGGAACCTTAACGCTTTTCGCGGTTTACAAGCTTTATTAATTACTGTTACTATATTTTCACTTCCATTCTGACCTAGAAAGGTCTGAAATAGCTTCCAACAGGATCCTGAAGCAGAGAGGGAATTCGTGAAAATAACGCGTTCTCACCTAAATATGAATTGTTGGTGCTATTTTCCCTATTGACCAGCACCCTTCCAAAGCTCTTATTTCATTGGTCCCTATAACATGCACTCCCTGTTGTTTTCAGGGATAGAAGCATTGTTATGTCACCATCCCTAATGTTTTCTCAGCCAATCACAAACCTTGTTCCCAGTTTCAGAGTAGAATTAGAATTGGGTAGCAAATGAATTTCACCTCAACAACAACAACAACAACAACAACAACAACAACAAAAGAAATAGTTCATAAGTCCGCTTGCGTTTAATGGTTGGGTGCAGAGCCAACGAAAATTGTCCACTAATAGTTTATGTTGTCGCTATTGCAAATTGAAAATACAACACAATTTAATGAAAGAGTTGGGAAACCGTATGATATGTAAATTAAACAGCTAAAATTTTCCGAGCTGGTTATTTAAAACCTACTGTTAACTAAATATGATTTTTAGGACGTGTGGAATATATAAAAAATTTCACCACCTTTAAACAGACGAAACACTTTGTAACAAGTCCGCTTGCGCCGGTTAAACAGTTGGGTGCAAAGCCAACGAAAATTGTTCACTAATAGTTTATGTCGTCGATATTGCAAATTGCAAATACAACACAATTTAATGAAAGAGTTAGGAAACCATATCATATGTAAATTAAACAGCTAAAATTTTCCGAGCTGGTTATTTAAAACCTACTGTTAACTAAATATCATTTTTAGGACGTGTGGAAAATATAAAAAATTTCACCACCTTTAAAGAGACGAAACACTTTGTAGCTCCTTCAATAGGGACTGTGAAGCCCGTATGTTAACGCCAAAAACTTTAACATAAAGGCATAAAGGCATTAAGCCTTAACATATTCATCAAAATTAAATGGGCTAAAAGACTAACGAGGAACAGTTTTTTTCTAAAATATCAATCAACCGCTTTTAGTCCCAACTAATAAGAAACATGTCATTTTGCAGTAAATTTTAATGAATACGACGTTCTTTTAAAATACAGCATCTGGAGCATATATAACAGTAAAGGACAGTTTAGTTCCTTTTTCGCATTTCGTTCACTCGAACGCAATATGGGCATATGGTGGCCCCAATAAAGAAAAAAGCCTTCAAATATGACTTAACTGTCAAAGGCAGGAAAAGTGGTGGGGCAAGTTTCCTGTGTTTCAGTTGAAGTTACTTTTAAAAGAACCTCCTGTTTTTAAATTGATATGAAGCTAACAAACACACATTACGATTTTACAATTTGTCTTGAAAATAACCAAGAGATCTGACACTTAGACCAGTAATACTTAATGATTAGTTGCTGCGTCGTTGTGTTAAGATGAAATGTTTCATAGTGGCCCAGTTAAAAAGGAATTTAGTCAAAGTACTTATCAAAGGATAACTTATTGAAAGTCGTGAAATTCTAAAAATAAGTCAATCTGCTTCGAAGCTCCGGTAGAAGAAGTCCACGAAACTAACTCTACTGAATTCATAAAAGATCAAACTCTTGCATCACCTGATAGGAATTGAACTGGCTTCAGCAAAAATCCAAAAAGGACAACAAATGGATTCCTCGTATCTCCTAGTTTGCCTTTTAAATGCATTTTTATCCTACACCGCCACCATGTTAAACATTGTTACAATCCACGCCATAAGAAAAACTCCGTCCTTGTCAAAGAATTTAAAAACATTGCTCCTAAGTCTGGCTGTTTCTGACCTTGGTGTTGGTTTACTAGCTCAGCCAATGACGGTGGTAGATCTTATCTCTACGAACTTGAACGAAAATAATGAAACTAGTAAGACTTATAATGCCATGCATATTGCGTTTCTCCTTCCGATGAATTTATTTACTTTCGCGAGGCTGTTTCTCGTCATTGTTCTCTGTGCTGATAGATTTATAGCCATTCAATATTACCTTAGATATCAAGAACTTGTGACACACAAGCGAGTTGTTGCTGTTGTCGTCTCAATTTGGGTATTAAGCGGACTGTTTTCGTTGACGAGGCTGTGGATCCGACAGAGTATGCCCGTGGTTTTTGGCATTACAGTACTTGCATGTGTCATTGCTGCGACTTTCTTCAGTGTCCGAATTTATTTCTCGGTGCGTCGCCACCTAAACCAAATTCAAGTGCAGCAGCTACAACAAGCATCGCAGAACGGACAAATGGCTAGCGTTACAAGGCTGAGGAAGGTTGCCATCATGGCAGTTTACGTTTGTCTCGTGGTGCAGGTTTGCTATCTGCCACATATGTGCAGTACATTTGCTGTTGCCTTCACGTCTGTATCAAACACTGCTGTAAAACATTTATATTATTACACTCTGACCCTGTCGTTTCGGAATTCATCGCTCAACCCACTGATCTACTGTTGGAAGATGAAACACGTCCGAAACACGATCATTGGCTTATTACGAAAAGCATTTTCATCGCAGAACTGAGGAGAATTTTGGGAAGAGTGCAGCAAACATTACGAACTTTTCTTTATCTATGCCCCTAAAGACAGCAATGACAACTTCATTTTAAACAAACGACGCAAATTTTGTTTGAGTAGTTCATTATAAAAAGAACTAACGCACTTTTGACAGCTGGCAAGCACTCACTTTCCTGGGTGTACTTGCATTTTAAGTGAACGAACAGTCTTAAACACGAACAAGCAAGCAAGCAAACAAAAAAGGAGGGAGAGAATTAAAGCGCCACCTTGTAAACCGAAATTACATCCTGTACAAGGAAATAGCGGTAACTGCTGTTGGAAGAAGGCAGCGGGGGAGAAGAAGCTCTTCATTCCCAGCCGGAGAAGTTCCAGCTTACCTGGTTGATCTGCTGAATATAGCTGAGACTGAAGAATTGGATAAGGCGTGATATGCTCAGATCTCGCGGGGTTTAGCACCTCCGTTGCTTCAAAGGACCCACTGGTGCTCTTCAGGTTGAAAACGCGCAACGTGTAATCGTGTTTCTTAGAATCTAAGAAGACAAAAAAACCGAATGATATTCACAACATTGCCCGATACAAGCAAAATGATTTGCCTAATTCTCAGAGGGACAGAAGACGCTGGCTTGTAAATTCCTACTCTGTTAGCCGTTAAGCATAGCAAACAGTAATCTATTCAGGAAAGTCAACTTGTAGGATTACGTCCAGTTCACAAACAAAAAAGGCGGAATCGTATTCGCACACCAACTCAAAACTAGTAAAAAAGGACAGAAAGGATCTGTGGGCGATATTCATTTACCAAGAAATTCGTTTACCATGAAGCAAACACTTTTCGGGAGGTTCGCTGGAAAACTCCCAGGAATAAGTGGAAGGCTTTGAAAAGAAAGTCTTCTTTCCCGTTGGAAACTTTTCCGGTGGAAAAGCGTGGTCCCTTTTCGAATTTTGACAAGGATTTCTCAATCTCAGGCTATTCACGGGCAATATCTGTGCCGCCATCTTGAACTTTGGAGAGAGAGGGAAACGAAACTCCCAGTTTTTTTCCAGTTGAAAAGTTTGCTATGTAAGAATGCATCCGTATGCCCAATGTTACAACCTCTTTAGCCCTCCTTTGCTCGCTACGTTCCTTTTGCTCGTCAAGACGACCTGAGAGACTAAAAATAAAGCCACCTCCGCCACGGAAGTAACAAGACACGCGAACACTCACAGAATATAACACTAAAAAAAACTGTCGCGCGTTTCGTCATTTCCCACGCAGCAGCTAATGCACGACGGGAGGAATGACCTTTTGTAAGGCATCGCAACACTCACCTTCACTAAGTGACATAAAGTTCGCCTTTCCTCCAAGAACATTCCAAAAGTCTTTGGTTTCTCCGCCTTCAGAAACTTCCTTGGCTTTGTAATCTTTTGAGTACTGCTTACTAAACCTGTGGAAAGACCAAAGGATATTAAAACAATATAGTGGAAGCTCTTGTAGGTGGACACCCTCGGGACGACCCTCGGGACGCGAGAAAGGTGTCCGTAAGTGCAGCTGGCCCCTTACGAGAATGAAGAAATACAGAGTTTGTATGGGAGTTAAGTAAAACGGGGTCTTGTGAAGGCAGCCGTAAGTAGAACTGTCCGCTTACGAGAGTGCCCGTTAAGAGAACTCTAGTTCTGAAGTAAACTGGTGACTTTCTAGTACTTTGTCTTTTGGCATTGTTACAGCGATTTCGGTTACTGTAAAATGTCAATCAAATTTTTGATAAAAAAAAGAGAGTCAAGTCGGTGTTGCTACAAATCATGTCATTTCTTGACGATACAGGAATTATAATTTTGAATTTTCTTAACTAATTAGACATTTTCTGAAAATAACGTAGCAAATTGTCAGTATTAAAAGACCTTATACTTCGAAATTTCAGTTAGTTATTTCAATGTTATAGCCAAAAAATAAGAAATTATTTAGATCACTGCTTAAACCTTTTTGTACTTCGACATTTTTGTCAATTTGTAGGTTTATCATTGTTTCTCGATGGCGAGGATCATGGAAACGGACTGCAAAGAAAACTTTGGGCCACAGGTTTTTCGAGATCAACTCCTGTGAATTGAAATAAATGAAATGACTCATATTTTGAACTGCGGATAAAGATATAAAAGTAAACATGATCATCGCAGTTGAATGAACGACCTAAGCGGTTGAAAAAGACCCCTAAAAATTCAGGCTTGACAGATCTGGGATCAGTTGCACTTGTTTCCTTGGAAGCAAGTGATGACAAATTAAGTATCTTACCATTTTTTAAGTCTTTTTGTGGCATTAACCGCCAGTGTTTTCACAGTGGAATGAGATTGACAGCCGTGCCAGACATAAAGTATAGCTTTCTTTTTATCTGCTACCACGAATGATGTTCTTGATCTCAAGCAAGACGAACTGGAAAAGAAAAAATTAATAAAAGATAGGTCTAAGTGAAATAAATGGTATTTAAAAAAATAAAGAATAAGTATAAAACATCAAGAAAGACTTCTTACGTCCTAGTAGTAACCATGGCCCCCCCCTCCCCCCCCCCCACCCCCAAAAAAGAAACAAACAAACAAACAAAAGAATGCGCTTTAAGCACTTAAAACGGCTCGAAGAGAGACGTTTGTTTTCCAAGAATTTTTTGCTTTATTCTCCGTTTACATTGGCGAGGAAACCTAGTCAAGGATAACATGTTAGTGTAAATAAGGCATTCTAAACAAAATAATGTTTAAAACAAATTTCCAACTATCTGCAGATCCCGTTTAAAGCAACAATCTGGCACTTGGCACGTGCGTTAAAAGCAACGTGCATCAAAACCAACACTACGACACGTGCGCATGAAAAACTTTGCACGTGCGTCAAAAAATAAGCACATGCGTTTGAAAGAAGAAAATGCAAGAGCGACAAAATAACGAAACAAGCATCTACTTCACCTCGCTGGGATCTCTAATAAATAAGCTTCTTCTGGTTCTTCATTTCTTACAATAAATAATGCTCCATCTCCTGGTAGAGTGACAGAAAAGTGGTAATGATTCTTCTTAAATATTATTTTGTACAGACATAAATAGAGGAAGATTAATATTCGCCACGTTATTCTCGTTGTTGTTAACATTTACGTCTTATTGCGAAATGCGCTTTGCTGGTTTACGTATTCGCCCGCTCTTAGTACTAGTAGTCGGTCTTGTCTTTAGCTTAAATCAGCTGGATGAAGCGAATTGCAAAGTTCTCGTGCTTGAACTGTGAGAGGAGTCGCATGCTAGCTGTAGAGTCGCAAAAACAAGGGTTGTTTACCATTTGCATTGCAAACAGGTCAGTTCACGGTTTGGGCTAATGGTAGACAAAATGCACGACTAAATTTCGTCCCGGAATCGCTTCTACCATTTGTACAATTCAGTTCCATTTACCCAAAAACGGACGCGAAGACCTAAAACTGGTATCAAAGATTATTTTCAAGAGAGGGAACACGAATTTCCGTTTTAAAAAGGACTACCTCTTCAGATGTTTTGTTCCTGCGGGAAATTTTCGGATGGAACGACCCAAAAAGTAGTGTTCAATTTACTGTCCAACCGAATTTTCCGGAAACTTTTTGTAAATATTAAACGACCTAACTTTCGTTTAACGATCATCAAACCGTAACCCAGTATCCATACCTGTTTCATCTTCACAGTCTCTCCTGTGAAGTAAAATAAAAAAAAAAACGTTCTTAACATCCTGCAACAAGGCACTTTCCACACTTGTTCAAATCAATAATAATAATTATTTCGGTCGATCGTAAAGAACTTACCTCCCTGAATGAACAACCATCTTTCCTTCAAATAATCTTGTAAAACATGGCGGCTCCTTGCCTTGGGCAACCAAAACCTTCAAGAAGAACAACAAACATTATTATGGTTAAATTTTGAAGGGAGATTTTCAGTCAATCATTGATATAGCAACGCAAGCCAAAGGGAAAAAAAACACAGAAACTGAGGAAGACAAGACTGCCTGAATCCCGTCAAGCCTTTGACGTTTCCATACGCAGAGTTAAGCTCCTCGCTATAGAAACGTTCGAGGTGTACGATAATATGGCACATGAATACCTATGCCAAATTTTTAAAAAAAATGAGGTCAACCCATGATCCAAGGGCTCCTCTTCTAGATTTCAGTGGCCTCTTTCCAAAACCAATTATGGCCACAACAAGAAAAAAAACATTTTGGCTATAGGGGCGCATTTATTTCGAATAAATTACTCGAAGATTTGCGTGAATGCAAAGTCAATGAACTTATTTAAATCTGAACTGGACCGCCTGCTTTCCAGCTTCTTTGATTCCTCACAATAATACCTAGTTTTACATTAAGCGTGTATATATAAATTTTTTTCTTTTTCACAATTAGAATAACTAGAAACTCTGCTGGATATATAAATTTCAAAAAACGGCTTTAATGTAAACCAGCGCTTTAACTGAAAAAACCACTACGACTAAGTAAAATATCTAACTGTCTATCTACAGTACGAAATTCACGACCGAAGACAATCTTGTTTTCTCTCGTCAAACTGGTCTTTCGAGTACAAGCATCCGCGTATTGATAACC